ACGTTTGCGGCAAACGGCAAACGTGAATTTGTACCACGTGACCAAGTGTTCCCTGTTTCTTGTTGTGAAATTCTCAACTTGAATCTGACGTTTGCTCTTTTCCGTAAAAGAGACTCTAAATATCTCTGTTCAGTCTGCCATGGCTCACGGTTTCCTGTACTTTTTTGAACTGGAATTGAATGTGTTTAAGTGAATCTTTTTCCGTGATGCGGTGTGTATTTTGTATCAGTACGGGGACTTTTTTATGTAATGAATAATTAAAAGGGATGACAATTCGAGGAGGGCGATATTTTTAAAACAGATATATAACAAATACGCAACCCTTTTCCGGATTCAGGCCCATGTTTCGTGGTAGGAGGGAGGGCTACCCACCTATCATAAGGCATAGGAAGGTTGTACTTTCCTCAAGTTAACAAAGCCTTGATCTGAGACATGCGATTAGCTTTGGTAGGCTAAGGTAATAGGCCCTTTGCAGCTAGTCATTCACGTGGTACAAAACCGCCGTGCTGGAGAGCAAAAGTCGCACTGGGACAAGACTAACAAAGAAAATTACCATTTAAAATTATGCCGGTATGTCTTTTGTTTGTCTTGTCCCAGTGCGACTTTTGCTCTCCAGCATGGCGGTTTTGTACCACATGAATGGCTAGCTGCAGAGGGCCTATTACTAGTGTCATCAAATCGCAAACTACAAAGTTACCCACCTTCTCTCAAATCAACTCGAACTCAGCAAGTACAAATTCTTTCAACACTTTATTCACCTTAACTATACTGAGTTTTACATTTTCTTGACCCTCAAGCTAAAGCAAAGAGGAAATCAGCGTCAACAATCCATCTGCTAACTTTCATCTGTACACCCATTGACCCGTTTCTTAGACAGAACAAACATGTCATACTTTAAGGCAGCATATCTCCTTTCGCCCTCAATTAAATGATTTTGACGTTCTGTTCTTATTCTTTGAAGTTCTTCTTCATTACTGGCGCCGTCCTCGGTTGCGCCGTTTGTCATTCGTCCTATCGTGTTTAAGGTCCTGTCACAAACCTGACATGTGTCTTCTCGTGGTTTTCGAAAACCCAACCTGCTGCCGAGATCTTCGTTGAACACGTTCCTGAAGGTAGTAAAACTTATAACAGGACCTTTTTTTTTTTTCTAAAAAGGTATCTTTTTTTAACCTCTCACCTAATCGACTAGCATTAACAAAAAAGGTAACAATTTTGCATGTTGTTCTATGAAAAATGTATGCAGAAAGTTAATTTTTTTGCTCTTTTCAAGTAGCAGAGTTAATCTTTTTGTAAAAAAGCAGAATTGCCGGAACCTTTCACTGATTGGTGGGGAACCCGCAGAATGTAAACACCGCGGAAAATACCCTTTTTAAATTTTTCAAGCAATGAAGACATTCTTGGTAGTCTCAACACTTCTAGACTGCTTTTACATCGAGTTACACGAGGGGCACCCAACGACAATTTTCGGAAAAATATCTGTTCGGAAGACGATTTGAGGTCTAGAATTTTCGGAACATTTGTTGTAAAATTTCTTGCTTGCCTGCCTCTCCTAGGATTTTCGAACACCTAAAAAATGGTAAAATTGCCCATTTTCAACGGATTTTTACCCTAAAAAGGTCACCTAGAATTTTCGGGAGGCTTTTTTCTGGCTGAAATTTTCAAACAGGTAAGTTTTGATCCCTAAAATTTTCGGATCACTAGACTTTCAGCTAGGAAATCCGAACAGATGAAAAATTTATAGGGGATAAATATATGCCCATACCCACCGTTTAAATACTAAAACACGTTTAACAATGCTATGTTTAAGTGGTTTTGAACTATATTCTCGTTGGGTGCCCCTGTTACACAGAAATTTTTCACTTTCTACGAGTTTACCGTTACAATAAACGGTACCTTTTTCATGATCACCAACAACAATGTATTTTATTTAAGATCCATAAGCTTACAATATTTTATGCCCTGCAAGTAGCCATAGTGCTAATCTAGGCAGAACAAACATTATAAATAAAGGCGTTATTAAATTACATATTAAGAAAAAAGGAAAAGCAAAAAAGAAAAACCCCTCACACAAACTCAAGCATAGGGGTTTTGTTATTAGAAAAAATAGACTAAAATTACAATGGTTCATTTTCTAGGTTGTAGAGAAATAGAGAAACACTCCTTGGCAGATAATCGCGTTTTATAGTGATGTTTTGTGCTGAGTTTCACAAACTTATTGAGGGGACTTTTGGAGCTGTCTTAGCGTGGACGTCATACAAGAAATAGCTTGGTTGTTGAAAGAAAAAAGACTGTAAAGGAAGACTGTGAGGAATTTTCCGATTTCCCTTTGTAACTCATTTTATGTCAGTTTCTTTGCGTAAATCACGCTCGAGATTCGACTTTTTAGTTTGAAATGCAATAATTCCGCTAATACGAGACATATGCAAATTTCCTCACACCCTTTTTTAGGTCTTTTATCTGTCAATCAGATACAATAAAAAGGAAGTGAATATTTAACAACGCGAAAGGGCTGGAGCTTCAGCAGTAAACTCGATACCTCTGAGTTCGAGAGCAAAAAACTTAAGCGCCTTTTGAAATTGGATGAAATAAAATCTTTTCATAAGGTAATTTAGTATTTTAGCTTTAATTTGATATATAACTTGCCTTTGTAGCCTTTGGCACCTCGTTTTCCTTTACCGAGACCTTAAATAAGGACTAACAAGTGCATGATATAAATTCAGAAGAAGCCGTGGAATGCCTTCAAACCATGGTAATAATTAAATTTTTCAACTGTCCAAAACAAATTCCACGCAACCTTATTCCAATGATTCTACAAACAAAAGTTTCCGTAGCAGACATAACTGAAAAATGTCGCAGACATTACATTTTGGGAAACACATTTGTTATCATTCACTTTTCTTATCAGTGTTGCTGACTGTGGCTATGTCAATTTTTCCTGTAGTTACTTGTCTAAACATGAAGCTGTGAAATGATCATTTACTTTATTTATGTTCTATTAGAATATTATATAATCTCCTGCTGACCTAGTGTGAAGCAATACCAGTCAGATTTTTTTTCTGCTATAATGAATCCTTAAAATAATTTCCAAATTAATTTCGTCACATCTCAAGTAAATGTTGTGAGGAAAAAAACCCTTTCAGTAGTGAGGAGATTATATTTTTTTCCCAAAACTGATTTAGCTACTAAAATTATCATTTTTTGTCATTCAGTCTGACTTAAAGACAGATAAAATGTAAATTTGCACTAAAATTTCACATAGTTCACGACATATTACATCACAAATTGTACTTAAAAAATAATACTCATTGTTGTTTTGGTGGTTGTCAAATTCGCCCTTTATCCCTGATCCATCCTTGATCGATGCACTTGACAGCTAGAGCACAACTCACAACAACAGCAGCGGCAGTCGCATCTAACCCTGTGGCAACTGAAGAAAAGAGAGAATTTTGCTTATTTGTTGACACAGATTTAAACTATGAAAGTTGCTAAGACCTGAATCTGAAGCTACACACTGAATTCCTACACTTTTCGAGCATATAACAACTAATCCAATTGATTATAAATTTCCTGAAATGTTGCGTACACACGGCTCCAAATGACCAATTAATGTCAAGGGTTGATTTGATAATTATTCACGGAGTTAAAATTTTCTAATGGCCGTCATTTCTTTACCGCAGGTCAAGAGCGAACGGCGGACTGTTGTGTTGGTAGCCCCATGAACCTAGGACCCCTGCGCGCGTAATGTACTGTCATGAACATGGTTGTATACTCACTCACCTATGTAACTTCCAACATCAAGAACAGCAATGACTATAGCAATCTGATCAACTTCATTTGAACCAGGCTAAAGTGGATGTGAGCTGTGAGAGGATCAACAAAAGTAATTATTAAGTTAACATAAGGTAACTTGACCACAAAGTCACCCTCTTGAGCGTGATACCTTACAAAGATCCTCACAAGATATTCTACGTTGTCAAGGAAAAACACATTCATGAAGGAAATGCCTAGTTCTAAGACTAACACAAATTGTGGTCAATAAATTGCTACAGAATTAGAGAGGTCCTAACATTTCTTGAGAG